GGGGTGGTAACAATATTCCTGTCTTGGACGTTCATATTGAGTTTACAGTGCCTTCTGTCATTTTTACCCTACTGACAGGGGGTTTGCAGTTTTCCTTCAGGGTCTGTTTGCTGGTGTTAGCAGGTGGTTACCGTACCTTCCACCCCCAACCAGCTAAGGTCAGAGGTGGCTCTGGAGGCTCTGACCCCGACTAGTAAAAATCGGGGCTGGTGAGTTGGGTATCTCTTGGCACCGAACGAATTCGGTGAGCCCCCCCCACCGTGTCAAGGTGGGTCCCATCGAGGGGGGAAGCCGTTTATTAAACAACAACAACGTTGGACAGTGGCGGGTCAATCTCCCACTCACTGGTCCTCACAATATTAATTTACACAGTGAAGGGGCTCTATCCCCTCAAAATTACCCTTCGGGCCACATCACAAGTACTTAACTACTAATTATTTGCTGGAACCCGCTGACGTTGACGCTTCTCTTCCTCTCTTACTTTTTGGACGTTGACCACGTAAAAGCACACTGCGTCCCATTTTTCCCGGCTTTCAATCATCGTCTTCACCGCTGTTTCCGGAGTAAATTCTTTGTCCGTACTCACTTCAAGCTYTCTGCGTTGTCTCCACCACCGATCACATTCAAAGATCGCGTGCTCGGCGTCGTCAGTRTGATACAGACAGTCGTGACATTYTGAGACGTCGCGCTTCTTGAACCTACACAAATATTCGCCGAAACACCCGTGTCCAGTAAGAAACTGGGTGATGTGATAGTTTATTGTGCCAAACGACCTCGACACCCATGGTCTCACATCAGGAATTAGCCGCCRTCTCCATCCTCCAGTACCGGTATTTTGCACCCATTCACTTTGCCACTTGTTCATAGAGTCCTCTCTCAGCTCTCGCTTGGTCGGTAGAGTCGAACCCGCCTTCTTCGACCCGTGGACGGCATTTCTCTCCGATACCATGATGTGCAGAGGTAGCATACCTGCCACCACCAAAATGGCGTTCGTTGATACCGTYTTGTAGGCGCACGCCACTCTTTTGGCCATCAGCTGCTGCGGTCTCAACATCTCCCTTTTGTTGACTTCAAAAACTAATGCAGACGCCCATATGGGTGATRCGTACAGCAGCTGGCTCTGTGCGACTGACATTAGTAGTTGTCGTTTCTTTTGCCTTGGACCGCCGATGTTCGGCATTAGCCTTGACAGCGAGGCAATTGTTGTTGTCGCCTTGGCCGCTGCGCACTCCAAGTGCTTTCGGAAGCCCAGTTTTCTACACATCTCCACTCCTAGGTAGCGCACGTGCTCTTTCAGTTGCAGCATTTCACCTTCCAGGTAGAAKCTGCGTGTACCCGCGCTTGGTAGTCATCATTATCGCTTCGGTCTTGCTCACTGACAATGTAAGACCTGTCTTCGCCATCCACCTTGACACCGCGTCCAGAGTTGGGTTCATGGATTCTTCCAGGAGAGCTGTTGTATGCCCTGTCGCCACCACTGCGACATCGTCAGCAAACGCTATGAGGCTAGAACTCGACATTCCTCGGATGTTACCTGGCATCGGGATGCGCAGCAAATCATCGTACATCACGATCCATAAGATTGGTCCGAGCACCGATCCTTGGGGAACCCCGCTGGTTACTGCACACCGTGTCGTGTCCCCGTATAATATTGCCCTCTCGCTCAGGTAGCTTCTCAAGATGCACACCAGGTATTCAGGCACTTTCTTTTTAATCAAGGCATCTTCGATATTTGCCCATGGGGCCGAATTAAACGCGTTCGCCACGTCGAGGCATACCATGGCACACAGCTCCCTCTTGTACAACGGACCTGTTCCTGCTTTATACACCACTTCCATTGCCTTTTCTATCGCGTCTACCGTGGAACGCCCTAGGGGGGAACCTAACCTAAC